CTGCCGGGCCCCTCCTGGGCTGGGGCTTCCAGAGCAGGTCTAGGGCTGGGGGGCACCATGTCGTCCGCCACCCCCTGGGAGCCTGTGTCCTGAGTGCCCAGGACCAGCTCCGGGAAGCCCTTGCGGCCCGGCTTCTGGCTCTTGGTTGGGGCACTGGCTGTGCGCCGCAGAAGCCTCTGGCTAACGGAGGGCCGGGCCGGGGGCCGCCCAGCAGCATGACTGTCCAGTGAGCCGGGCTTTGGGCCTCGGAGGAAGAGGCCTTTTAGGCCCAGAGCCTGCTTGACCTGCAAGAGAAGGAGCCCGCATAGCTGTTGCCAGGGGTCCCAGCCCAGCTGCAGCTGCACCCCCAGGGCCAGCTCTCCAGACTGTGCCACAGACGTGCCGTGCGTGTCTCGGTCCGAGCGGCCGGGCCACCTCAGGCTGGGGGCGTGTGGACACACCTGGGCCTTCAGGAGCAGGGTCCCTAGGGCATTCTGCCTGGGACAGTGGTTGCTACAGATCTAAGTACAGATGGCCCACCCCACCCTCCTGGGCATGTGGGGCCTGTGAGGGGCATGGAGAGAAGGTCCTTCCTCTGGAGGAAAGACCTCAAGTCCCAGCCCGGCCCACCACAGCCTGCACCTGCTCAGAGACCCGCAGCCCCATCGCTGGCAGGGGACACTGGTGTGGCACTCCCTGGTTGCGTGTGCCCCACTCTCAGGCAGGAGTAGCTGGTCTACAGCAGGAGTAACCAGGTGCAGTGGGAGGCGTGCTCACCCAGCCCACGTCCTGCTCACTCTCATGGTGATACTCCTGCCCTGGGAAGTACCACCTCTTCCAGGAAGCCTTCCTGGATTCCCCCAGGCAGCCTTTTCTGGTCTTGCCCTGCCCTCTGCTCATGTGAACCCCCAAGGCCCACAACTGGCTTGCTGACCCCTGAACCCTGCCAAGATGGGCTCAGGCTCCTGGCCCACCAGTACCTGGCCACAGCCAATCTTCCTGGACAGCTAGGTCCAGGCGGTCCCTGCCTGAGCAGAACAGCTGCTGAGAGGGAGGCAGCTGCATCTCCAGGGTGCAGAGCCCAGAGGGGCCCTCACATGCCAGATGCCCCCAAGACCGGCAGCACCCACTGTGCCCCCATCATGAGCCGTGCTTATGCACAGAGCGGCCCAGGCCCGGCAGGTGGGTCACCTCCCTGCAGGGCACCTCTGGGCAGATGCGTTCAGATGGCCAGCACTTGAATCAGCTTCCTGATTCAAGATTCCAAATCCACGCATTTGGTCACAGTGGCTGGGAAGCCATTTAGAAGCAGATCCGGGATTCCAGCTCGGAGCACCGGCCTCAGGGGTGCCCTCATCCCAGGCACTGGGCATGGTTGGCAAGGACAGGGAAGGAGCGGGAGGGGAACTCAGAACCAGCAGCCTGAGGGTCCGAGAGGGGGGCAGGAGAGAGAAGGAGGGGGATAGGAGGGGCACAGCGGGGGCTCCAGCGGGCTCCCCACCAGGGAAGGGGCTGAGGGAGGGGAGGGAGGATTGAGGGAGAGGAGGAGAGGGGAGGCCAGTGAGAAGGCGGCCACCCAGCTGAACCCTGGATCTGCCTCGTAAATGCCACTCTGGCTGGGGATGGCCAGGGCCCCCAGAGCTATGTCATGATCCACGTCACAAGAGCGACAGTCCCCAAATGCTACCAGGAATCACGGATGCTAATGGGGCATGGCCTGGGCATGCAGGGGTGGCGGGCCGCACTGTCCCGCACACCGGGTACCTTCAAGGCTCCTAACAGAGCTGGGCTTCTAAAGGTAGAGACTGAGGCCATAGAGAAGCCGACTGCAAGACCAAAGAGACAGAGGGAGCAGGTGAGGCAGCCACAGCAGCGGCATGGGGAGCCCTGCGGCCTGGGGGACGAGGAACAGATGGGTGTATAGACGGCAGAGGCCGGATGGCACTTCTGGGCCCGAGAGCACAGGAGGAGAGTCAGCACTGGGCTTGGGCAGGCCCCTCGTGCTGTGTGAGCAGGGTCCTCCGAGGGCCAACTGCAACCAGCAGGACCCAGAGGGCACTGGGCCTCAGCTGAGAACCAGGGCAGCCGGCTCTGCAGGGCAGCAGGGCCAGCACCAGCACCCCTTCCTGCGGAAGCCGAGTCCCCACTCTGACCTGGGGCAGGGGATAGACATGCTGGGTGTGGAGTGACAGGCAAACCCGGGCAGCTGCCTTCCATGTGACAGCAGGAAGTAGAGGGGTAGGGGGTGAGAGAGGGGAGGGGGCACCACTCAGTCCCTGCTGAGAAGCCAGATGGCAGCACTGTGGGGGTGGAGCCTGTGAGGCCGGCGGGGCAAGGCCCAGAGCACTCGGGACCCGCCCTGCCGGAGATGCCCACAGCCAGCCCTGGGGTCAGAGGTGGGCACTGGTGGCTCAGGAGCCAGACCCCCACAGCACCCCCTCTTGCAGGTAGAGGAACAGAGGCCCGGGGAGGGGACCCTAGGCCTCACTGCCTGAGTTCAGGACCCAGGCCTGGGGACACATGGGGGTGCATAGGACAAGGGGCTGGTGCGGCCCCTTCCCACGATGGCTGGTGGCAGGGGGTGACACTCACCTTACCACTGATGTCACTGACAGCCACGTGCACGAAGATGGAGGCCTCTTCTATCCCCTCCAGGTACACGTGCCTGTAGCCTGGAGCAGTGTGGGTCAGCAGGGTCATGAGGTCACAGCCTCCCGAGGCCCCCACCTGCTCTGTCCCCCACTCTACTCAAAGGTCCCAAGACCCCAAATACAGCCGACAAACCCAGGCCTGGGACCTCTGCCTCCCGTGGGCCCAGCACTACCCCCACCTCCTCCAGGAAGCCCACTGGCATTGCACCAGCATGCAGGGTCCTCTTCCTGGGGGTGGCCCCTCCCCCACAGGCCGTGCCCCACCCCGACCCGCAGGTCCCCAGGCTGGCTCTTGTCCTGTCCTCAGCCCTCTTCCTGGGGGTGACCTCTCCCGCACAGGCTATGTCCCCATCAGACCCACAGAGCCCCAGGCCGGCTCTTCTCCTGTCCTCACCTCCTGTCTCTGGTGCCAGATGCAGGCCCGCCCACACAGGCACCAACTCACAGGGGAAACAGTGCCTGCCCTGCCCGGGGGCCCTCGGCCAGTGTGGGGGGCACCGTGTCCACACCTGCCCACCTGGCATCATGCTGCTGAAGGCCAGCGTCCTCTGGCCAATGAAGTCACGCCCGATGGGGTCGTGGTCCCAGACGAGGAAGCGGACCAGCGCGATCTCCGGCATGTGCACTGTGAACACCAGGGTCTCCTCCCAGGTGGGGTTGAACCCTGGGGAAGCAGCGCCAGGAGGAGTGTCCCGTGGGCAGGGCCCGGCCCAGCACCACTCCAGCCTGGAGCCCCGGCCCACACCACTCCCAATGCTGCTCCCGGGACTGCCCACCTAGAGGGGAGCGGCACCCAGGACTGTCACCAAGGGAGGCCTGGGCAGAGCACCCGGGCACACCAGGTAGCCCCAACCCTCCCCCTCAGACTTCCATCACCAGCGTGACAGAGCCACGGCCGAGCCTCACCGTTGTCGTCCACCACGTGGGTCTGCTCCCTGCTGCAGTCCACAGGGAGCCCGATGATCTCCACCTCCACAAAGGGGTCGATGATCTGGGACACAGGAGTGGGGCTGGCTTCGGGGCCCATCACGATGCCCGGCCCACTCCCCACTCCCACCTGCCTGTGCAGGGCTGGCCCCCACCTCCCCGCGGTCCCCCAGCATGGAGTCGCGCGGCTTGGGGAGCTGCTGGCCACTGATGATCCGGAGCACCAGCTGCTTCTTGAGCTGCCCGGGCAGGGGGTCCTCCGAGTTGGGGTTGAACACGCCTAAGGGGATGCCGGGCAGGTGGTCAGTGGCCCAGCCCTCAGCAAGCCCCCTACTCGCTGGGGCACGGCTGCCCCTCCCCGGCCCCCACATAGGAGACTGGAGCCAGTGCCAGGTGGAGGGAGGGAGGCAGCAGTCCGGGGGGGCACCTCGGGGGGGCAGGTGCGCCTGGCCCAGTATGGATCACCTTTGTGGCCACCGCAGCACGTGGGACAGAGCCCATGCCTCCCACAGCTGAGCCGAGGAGGTCACACAGCTTCTGGGGTTGGGTCTGGGTCCCTGGGGGTTTGAGGGGTGGGGTCTCTGGTGACAGTGCCCTGGGACACGGTCAGGCTGAGAACTCCGAGGAGGGCAAGCCAAGGGCAGAGGTGGAAGTGGCCGGTCCACAGCAGTAGCCAGGTCCAGCGGAAGGTCCACTCGCCCGTCCCCTGTCCTGCCCACTCCCATGGTGATACTCCTGCCAGGGCCACAGGGGGACCAAGCTAGAAGTCATCCACAGCAGACAAAACAGAGGTGTCTGAGAGCTGGGAGGAGGTTCCCTCCAACACCCAGCCCAGACCCAGGTCCTGAGACCCACAGAGGGGCCAGGCACAGGGGGCTAGGCCGCTGGCACTGGGCCCCCCTCAGACAAGTCCTGCCATGAATCTCACATGGGGCCCAGGCTCCCCAATTCTCCATCCCTGGATTCCTGGCAGAGCTGGGCCCTCCTTTGCAACCCTAGCAAGGAGGGTTTCCCCACCCACCTCCCCAGCATCCTGGGAGCTTCGTCCCAACCTGACCCTCCAGGGGACTCTGCCAAAGCCGCCCCCACCCCCTTGCTAGCCCATGGGGCTCCGATCTCCGTTCTGGGGACACCCAGGAGGCCCATCCAAGCCCTGAGCATCCGAGCGCCTCACCCTGGCACATGCACTCGGGCTTGAGTACGTAGCCGCAGCCACCGTTGGCGCTGAACTTGGCTCGGTTCAGCTGCAGCATCCGCCCCTCTGACTGGTAGTTCAGGGCAACTGTGAGGGGGACACAAGGCTGCCCCGGTCAGCACCCGACCTTCCAGGTGTGTCCCCCACCCACCTGCCACCACACGCTAGCCTCCCCTGCACAGCTGCCGCGGATCTGCTGTCTGCCGCTCGTTCACCCAATATGAATGGGACGCTGAGGCTCGCACCTGTGCAGAACTGAGGCCAGCACATCCTGGAGGAACGTTACTGGAGCTGGCGCAGCCACAGCCTCGCAGGCAGGTGTCCCGGAAGTACGTGCACAGGCCTGCATCATCGCTCCCACATCCCCCTGAGGCTTGACGGACCCTGCCCCAGTGCTAGCCTGGTGTCAGTGGCAGCCTGGTGTCAGTGGCAGCCTGGTGTCAGTG